GGACATTATCTCAAGGGAATATTATTGTCCAAAATAATAAAATTTAAAAAAAATAATAAAAAAATCTGTAACTGCCGATTGAAACGGTTTCCTTATCAAGTGGTGGCACGGAAAGTAGAATCATGATGACGACTATCTACATATGCATATATATATAACAACCTCATCATATCATATCATATAAAAAAACAGATCCACAGAGAACAGAACGGAAGCAAAAACCCCTCTCTCACTCCTCCAAAACAATGGATTCCAAGTTGTTCACGTCCTTATTCCTCTTAATCTCTTCTTGTGTTTATGTGGGTTTTTCTCAAGGTGGTGGCGACGCCAGTCCTTCCATGCCTTGCGTGCAGAAACTGCTTCCATGCAAGGCCTATCTTAACTCGTCGTTGGCACCGGCCCCCTCGTGCTGTGTCCCACTGAAGGAGATGATCACCAAAGATTCCAATTGCCTATGTGAGATCTTCAACAATGCTCAGCTTTTGAAGACTTTCAATATAAGCCAAGTTGACGCCTTGAAACTTCCAAAGGCTTGTGGTGCAACCGCTGATATATCAATCTGCAAAACAGGTACTCATCATTTCTTGTTTTAATATCGTACGAATGGTCGGTGGCCATGTGAAATAAAAAAAAAAAAATTTAATTGAATCTACTACTTTTTGAAACAGTGTCATGTGTGTCTTTATCTGTTTTTGGATACTACTGTATCTTGTGTATCGGATGTTTTAGGGTTGAATTAGGGTCTCGGAGTTTTGTCTAGTACTCATTGATGAATTATAAATAGTTGCCTCCATGAAATGACTTTGTTAATTTTCCTTTAGATTTTGGTTATTGTTGGTCTTTTGATTTTATTTATTTATTATTTATTTTGTGTTATGGTTCTTTTCCATTTTCACTATGTTTGGAATTCCAGGATTACACGGTATTGGATTTCAAAAAGGATTTGACTTCTTTGTAATTTCATAAAATGGGATTTGAAAGGAAATATAGTAACGTAAGAAAATGAATTTGAAGGGATTTGGTAATTAACTAATTAACTTGCCAAAATTACCCTTCTACAATAATTACGAACTTTTTTATTCTCTTCCATATCTTTAACGTCTCTTATCCAAAAGTAGTACAAAATGGATAAGAACCAAACAAAGCCAGTGTTTTGGGCTGGGTTTTTTTTTTTTGGTAGGGCCTGACCGTGTGGCCCATTTTGGCTAGTATATTCGTTTTTACATTTGCTTAATCATTTAAAATATAAACAAAATAAATATTTTTGTACTATTTGTTATTTCGGATGAGTTTTGAGTATGACAGAAAAAAGTGATTGCTGATGTTACTCCATGATGCGTGGGTATAATATCTTGTTTGTTACGGAAGCATGCGAAACAATTTTGGTGTGCATCACATTTAAATGATGGCCGTTGCCATTTGGGGTCTCTTTAAACACTACCTTTTCTCCCCAATATTACATGTCTGTCCCAAATCCGTAGTTGTCCCAAATCCGTAGTACTTTTCAATTGATTGGGCATACTAAATGGTTGGTAGTACATTAGTTTACTCATACATAACTTAATTTTAAAATTGAAATCCCCGATTGACCGACTTAAGATGGCATTGAATACTTACTTTATTGGTGTAAATTATTATTATTATTTTCTTTAGGTAAAATCCTAAATGGTCAAATGTTCAAATCATTATTATTTCGGAATTATTAAAGATTTATTAAGTTTGTAATTTTGAAGAGAATGGATCATTATTGGTTTATAGTGGTCAATTACTCCCTACTTCTTACAAAAAAAAATGATCAAATTTTTGTTTTTAGACTGTCATAACTCTACTTTTTTTATTTTTTATTTTTTGTAAAATGACCAAAATATAAATTTATAAAAAAATAAACAATCACACCATTGTGTCCCTACTATAAGTAAATTGACAATTCATTCACTACCAATACAACAAAATATATATATATATATATATATATATATATATATATATATATATATTGTTATCACCTTATTCCCAAAAATGGACACTTTTTATAGGACTGAGGGAGTAGAATTTTTCTGATATTCCATATTCGTTTACTTTGTCACTGTTCTATTGATAGTTGTTTCAGTTAGGGTCCAAATCTTTGCTCTAATTGAAATGTTTGAATGCTTGTTTTGGTCACCTTTATATGCTTTTGTAGCTTTTATTTCATCTTATACTCAAATTGTTTGCTTTTCTTTATTGCAGCTGCTGCACCAATTGGTCCATCTTCCAACAGTGAGTTCTAATTTATTTACTTAAAATAAGTTTGATTGAAATTCGGAGAAAAACATACTTTGATAGTCATTAATGTTGCATTTGGGAATAGTACCGAATTAAGCTTCAAACTTTTAACTAAATATTTCCTTCAATTCAAAATTTAAGGCCAATTCATAGCAAATGTACCAAGAAAGAAGTTAATTTAAATTAACTGTTATTATTTTAATTAGGCACTCATGTTGAATTAAAAAAAAAAAAATTAAGATCAGAAATTGCTTCTCTTTATTTTTTTTTTCCTCCCCTTTTTTCCTTTTTTTTAATGTGTATTTTGTATAAAAGAAAAAAATAATGAGAAATTTAGGTGGTTATGCAAAATTACTTTTAACTAAAAAAAAAAAAAAATTAAATTCATATTATTGAAACTTCTACATTTCATCTAACCAAACGAAACCTTAGTTCTCCCATTTTAATTTCATTTAAAAATATAATTTTATATTTATGGGTTTTCAGGTTCGGGTTCAAGTAACTCCACAGGAAATCCAAGTTCAAAAAGTGGAGCTAATGGGATGTCTCTTCTTGGTGGATCTTCCTTCATCACTTCCCTTGTGGTTTTAATTACTTCATTGGTCTAAGTGTTTCTACTATTGGGGGATTTTTTTAGCAGATAGTGGTGGGTTATTTAGTTGAAAATATGGTGGGTTATTTAGTTGAAAATATGGAACTGCATAAGTAAACTTTTATAGGGTTTAGTTACATTGTGTACTCTATTTGTTACATTGCGTACTACTCTATTTGTTACATTGCGTACTACTCTATTTATAATAAAGTAGTCCTATGTTTTAAAGTTACAAGAAATGGCAAAATTTTGAATCGGTTGGCTTTGGTAGTGCTTTATAAGCATTAAGTTACAAGTTCGAATTCTTTTAAGTGCGAACAATTTTTTGAGAGTTTCGAGTGCAAATATAATTCGAGTTTTACCTCATTCGTTTGGAGTTATCGCTTTGTATGAGTCCCATAAATTAGTGGGGACGAAACCCTAGTTATCCAGGTTATTAAAATAAGTAAAAAATATATATTGAAAACAGAAAACATTTATTAAGTTGCTTGCTTGTGTGCTAATTCCCCTCTACCTTTTATGTTATTGAAAAATAAAAGTACTTTATGAATAGTTAAATTAAGGAAAACGATAAACTCGTAATGGTAAAAATCTATTCTTTTTAGAGGTTGATAAGAGTCCACTTGGACTAAGAAATCGGTTTATGTAGTACGAGGAGGGCAATTGTCAATTTTTTTTTTTTAATTTTAGTGTGGACAAATTTAAAATTTTGTAAGTATATAATACAAAAAAATAAAATTAATGGATATAATAGCAATAAACATTTGTGTTGGAAAGTAGAGAGTGAGAAGCAATTGGAAGAAACTTCATCCATTTGACAAAAATTATATCACTATTTTAGACTTTTTGGACGTCTAACCTTGAATATTGGATTTTTACATAACTTTCACTAGTTTTGTGTTGCTCTTGTAATAAACAAAACAATTTTGATATATATGTATATATATATATTAACAAGGCAAGTTGTTACAAATTTGCCTTTAGTAAAATTATGGTTGGTGATACATTATACAAAAGTATTTTTTTTTTATTTTTTTATTTTATGATAAAAGTACTTTTTAATATGTTTAGTAGCAATATTGTTTAAAATATTTCTATTACTAATTTTACAATAATGCACTTTAATGGAGTGTTACCATATTTGATAATAGTAGAGCTTTATAAAAGAAGATATATAATTGTCTTTATGAAAATATATAAAAGGATTGTAATAGCACTTGATAAACTGTAAATAAATGGAGATATCAAACACAATTGAGAGACTTCCAGAGAGATGATACGATCCAATGAGGAGAAGTAGACAACCTGCCAATAAGATTTACGGTGAAGGTAGAGATGTTTGTTTCTGTGACAAATCATTGATGCAATGTGAGTTATTGTGTAAATTCACTTGCCTTTAATGTTTGCCTTGGTGATCCTATTTATAATCTTAGATTCCTTAGATAATATTTTGTAGAGCTCGACTTGCTTGGTCCTCACCTGGTACCTAGGGTCGTAGGTCACGATTCCTCCGGACACCCAAGGGGACAATTCCTTCCTTTCACCATATCTTAGTGTGATGTAACCAATTCGTTGGCTAGGCTTTATTACTTGTGTTGGGCATTTGATGACTTCTCATCCAACCCATCAAACATCATTCCAAGTGCCCCAAATGTTAATTTTAAGTGTACCAGAAGACCCTATCATATCTCGTTATGTGCTCAACAACTTTAACCTGTTCTGAGATTAGAGTGATCTTGAGATTTAATGACCTAATATAATGTTAGAGTTTTCTTTAAACTCGAGAGTTGCACTTTCGAGGTTTGGTGACCTAACATGACATTATAATTTTCCTCAAACTCAAGCTTCTCGAGATTTGATGATCTGACGTGACATTAGAGTTGAACTCAGAGTTGCATGCATTCTCAAGGTTTAATGACACCAAAGTTTTCTATTGACTTTTCAAAGAGGCACATGATTGCTTTATTAGGTTATATTGGCATCGCTTACAAAAAATAAAGTGGCACAAGGAGAAATGGTTTCCTAAAACACAAAATATCTACTTAGACATCAATTTTAGAAATTTGAAATTTTTAGTTAATGCAAAAGCTCTACTAACCAAAATTTGTACCATTTAAAAGTACTTTCCTGATTACCCAACACATTTAAAATAAAAGCATTTTTAAGTGGTTCAACAGCACCCAAAAGGATAAATTTCTATACATAAACAATTTTATATCATATTGGCAAGTTCAAATAAGCATATGGTAATTCTGTACAATACCTAATCTACACATTCTGGCATGTTCTTCAATCACTGTGACAATGTGTATTGATGGAATATAAAGAAACCTGAAGTGAGCTTTTAGTTGACCTTCTCGCCACTAGCCAGCCCCCTCTTCTCCTCCTCCACCTGCTCAAGCAACGCTTCTAACTCTGCTTCTGTTAAACCCTCCAATCGTTTCTGCAAAATTAGGGGAAAAAATAGAAATTTAGTACCCAATTCTGTATTGCAGAAACCACATTATCCAGAAAATGGTTAGTTTTGAGCTTTCGAGATCAGATATGGTCGACTAATTTGAGCTTCAGAAAGAGGAAGATGGGGGCACAAAGGAAAATTAGAACAATTGCAAAACTTGATCAACTTTCCACATCGTTCATCTAAAATCACTGGATGTATTTTAACAACTTCGAACAACATAAAAAACCAGTATCATCTTAATAAGATATTCTGTCTATCTTAAACAAAAACTGATATCCTACAAAATCAATGGAGATTCTATTACAAGATGTATGATAAGCGGGAAGCACGGACACGGGTACAACATGATACGGACACACGATGTGGAAAATCTCAAAGAGTTAGAACACGAATACGGGCATGGATACATAAAAAAATAATAACGTAATATATTATTATATATAAAATATAATAATTTTTACTCATTTTATTCATATTATCATGAATGAAATCACTAATTTGAAGCTTAAAAGGTAGATGCTACTTAATGTTGTTCTATAATTTTACATTATTATTTTTAATTAACTCGAACTATATTTTAAAATTGCATTGCAATCACATTCTTCTAAAACAAAATAATTACAGAACCACCCCATCATGTCTTAAAAGTGTCCAAAACATGTTCTTGTGTCCATGTTGTATCCCCGACATATCCATGCCGTGTCCTAGTCGTGCCCAAAAAAAAAAATTCAAATTTCAAGACACTTCTAGCCATTTTGGACATTGAGTTGTGTCCCACACGTGTTCGATACTGCCATGGCACCCCTTAAAGAAGTGCCTGTGCTTCTCAGATGATAAGAAAGAAATTAAAATATTTCCAGGCTGTATATGGATTCTTCTTCTATATATTCTTTCTTCCAATTAATTATAAGTAGGGGACTACCAAGAGATGGTGAATCCCATATTCTGGGAAAAGGAAAGTGCCACCATGTTGCTTGCTTTAATCATTCTACCAACAAATCGAAGAGGTAATACATTCAAAACTTAGCACACAGATAAAATAAAGTTTCTTTTTCCACTCGTGCACCACATATTGAATTAGATATGCATGCAACATTTGGGTGCAGTAAAAAATGAATATGACTAAGCATGCAATATTCAGCACAGAAGATTATGTTAAATGACTATACCTCCATGACTTTGTTTTCGTAGTCACGTAACTGTTGAGCATATGTCATTTCCTTATTTGAAACTCTAAAGATGTATGTAGAAATCCATCCAATTGTTAGACCCAAAACCAACACCAACTGAACAACATTCCCAGCTTGTAAGGGATCAACACCAACATACTACAAGAAGCATCAAAACAAGAACAATATTAGATTATGCAGTCACCAATTTATACTTTCTGCTGACACAGTCTCTTCAATTCTTTTCTTTATCATTTAATAACTTCTAATACCAGATACATTCTTCCACACATCACCAAACAATTGGTCTAGAAAATTTGTGGAGTTTTGTAACCAATAACTCTATTTCATGTATAAAAATGGAGTAGGAATTAAAAGAAAAAGAGTTTGATGCTAAAAAGAATTTGGAAGAATGGATAAGAGAAGATATCCAGGGAACCTCTAATCCACTTTTCAATCCAATGCCAGCAACGGTTACTCCAAGTCCAATCAACAGAACATCCTTCCTTGAATATCCAAAAGGTGCCTGCAGTAGGAATAAGTTTCAGATTTGACTGGCTAAATCAAAGAGTTGATGAGTAAATAGTCCTAACACACAAAGAAAACAAAAATAATATAGCATTTGTATCAGTACCTCAGTTTTAGAGTTGCAGATTCAAGCAACTTTGCAACACGATTAGAGCAAATATTCATTTTCCTAAAATTTTCAGCTATCAATGTCTACTAAAGTACTGCCATAAGTAATCCATTTGTATAATCTACAGAAGCTTAAAAGACTAAATATCATCAGCCTATGGCACTTCGGTTGCAGAGAGGACCAAAGAACCGTTATTTGGCAGTCAATATATTAGCCAACTAAGAGAAACCGCCTAACAAATCAAAGTCTTTTGAAATAAAAGAAATTTATCTTATGAGGTGAAGGAAAAGCTGAATGGAAAATGGTCAATATCATTGTTTATTGACTTACGGCTCATTAGGTCTTGGGTAAATTGCATAAAAACTCCCCTGAACAATCAGCGGATTTCAAATACCCCCTGAAGTACAAACTGCCCTCCCAAACTAACAGAAATACACTTAAGGACAAAACATCAAACTGCCGTTGCGGAAAAACTAAAATTACTGTTTTGCCCATTAACAAGGAGAGTGGCAGCAGGAAAAATGCCAAACACAACCCAGTTGACCAACACTTTTGGCGCATTTTAGCATCATCATTAACAGCAACGAAGGAGCTGAATGCACAATCTCCACCTTTCGCACCATCTCTCTCCTCAAGGTCACGTTGTCGTCCATGGTGGGCTGATAGGTTCAGAAGAAACCAAACAAGCAATTGAACCCTAATACTATGATGAACTGTTAGATATGATCATATAAAAATATATATATATCGACGATATATATAGGTTTCTTGGGGAAAGAGGCCAGAGGGTCAACCATATTGTTGGACAATCGGAGCTGGGAATTAGTTCGAGTTCATATGCAGAGTCCAATACTGGCGAGCAAGAGAGAGGTGAAGAAGATGAAATGGGGAATTAGGGAGTGGAGAAGCAATTACAGTGACCAGAGGAGGTACTCAAGTCAAGGGCGTTCAGCAGCGTAATGCGCCTCCACTAGAGGCCAAACTAAGAACTTACAAGCACAAAAACTTATCCAGACGCCAGAGGGTCAACCATATTGGTGGAAAATGGGATATGGGAAGCAATTACAGTGACCAGAGGAGGTACTCAAGTCAAGGGAAATTACAGTCCGTAGTCAAGGGAGCAGAGAAGCAATTATAGTGACCAGAGGAGGTACTCAAGTCAAGGGTGTGCAGCAGCGTAAATCTAATGCACCAAACTAAGGACTTACAAGCATACAAACTTACCTAGAGGCCAGAGGGTCAACAATATTGGTGGAAAATGGGAGCTGGGAATTAGTTTGAGTTCATATGCAGAGTCCAGTACCGGCAAGCAAGAGAGAGGCGAAGAAGATGAAATGGGGAATTAGGGATGATTGTTTTGATTATAAATGTTCTCTTGAGCAAACTGTTGAACATGTGGAGCATGTTTAAAATCAATGTCCATTACCACAAGATTTCTCCCTCCTCCACTTCTTATTATCACAAATAACACCAACCATAATTCAAATCAAACACCAAACTTCACCGTCTCAATCTAAACCCACAAGATTTATCCCTCCCCCACTCCTATATTCTGAAATTTCTTCACCCTTAATTTTAATAACACACTTCAGTACCTTTATATATGTGTGTGTGTGAAAAATATACATATAAATAAATTGTTTCAATCCTGGGTCTGCTTCTCACAGCAACAGAAGTTAATTATTCTCCTTTGGTACCTATATATATATATATATATGGTTGATCTCTCTAGCTTATATATACATATATTTATGTATATATCTTTCTTTGGAGGACCAATATTATTGTCTTTGTGTTCTAATTTCAGTTGACATCAACCAAAGGATTCATGTGTTAGGGTTTGCGACTTATCATAAAAAAATAAAAAATAAATAAAAAATAAAAAATAAAAAATAAAAAAGAAATGTGTTAGGGTTTGTGAACAAAGGAAGCTGATGTGAATTTGGGGGTTAAAAATTATTTATTTTACTAACAATAATAAGGCCATTCTTGTCATTTTAAATTTATCTTTGGTCACATGATATTCACTCCGCAATTTAACGTTAATAATTCAATGGAGCTTTAACGATTGGGAGGTTTCTATAAAAATTTGGATAGTTTAGGGGGTTAACTGTCTAGATAGTAATTCAGAGGGGTTTCTTGAGAAAAAGAGAATAGTTCAGTGGGGTTTTATGCAATTTACCCTTAGATTTTCTACTACATTCAACCCCCTCCCTTTCACCCCAGGCTCCACACACAAAAAAGAGGAAATCCCTAAACATAGCCATAGTACATAATATAGGATACTTCTGCACAATGTGCAATTAAAAGAATACATTCTGTCATTCTTAAGTTGTACATTGTCATATAAGAATCAAAATATTGTACATTAAACAATTTAAATATTTTTTAGTATAACATCTAAACCATTTATATAACTAAAACATACTAAAGAACCTTTCTTCCAGATGATTACATGTGGGCAGACTTTGCATGCATGGTGCAGAAGAGAGACAAAAAAAAAATGCTAAATTGCTAATTTCATTCATCAATAGTTGCCTAGACATGCCTTGACCCGGGGAGAGGATTCATCTTCGCTGCTACTGGAGTTTGAGGAACCGCTGCACCTAGGGATTGTAAAAGTCACCTTCTTTGATCCAAAGTTATTGTATCCATTCCTCAAGAATGGGAACATCTGCTTCGTACAAAAACTTTGGGAGGTAACTCTTACTGTAACATAACAAAATCAGAAGAAAAAGTAAAGTTAGAAAGGCATTATTTATAAGCAAGGGAATCAGATTTACATCACAAATCCTCCTAATAGATATTTCAGGGGTGGTTCTACAAACAATTTTCCTTTCCTGATTAACATTAATGACGACTGACTGAAGTGTGCACCATGCCTATATGTTTCCAAATGAATGAAGTAACATTATAGAACTTAATGAGACATTGCTAATGCATATTCCGTACAATTTATCCAATGTCCTTGTATGTAAATTTGACATAAAGTGTCAAACAGGTGTATTTGTAATATACCATTTTTACAGATAATTCCAAAACGTCCAGGATCATAAATTAACACTTCTTATATGCACTCAAAAATGGGTACACATTCAGATTTAGCTCACTCAACAAACTTAGTTATAGTAGTTAAAGAAATTGTCAACAACAACTAAGGGGCACTACTTGAAAGTGAGAGTTTAGCTTAGGCATGATATTTATCTTCTCTTCGCCCCTCCAAATTAGTTGATCCAGGTATATTTATTTTCGAAAGAAATTCACTCTTTTCTTTTCTTTTTCTTTTTCTTCTCTTTTTATTTTTTTCTTTTTTCAGTTAGATGATATCCATATATACTCAACTCAACTCAACAAGCCTTTTTCACACCTACTTGAGATTGGTTACATAGATCATGATCGGTCGTTCCACTCTTTTAGGACTATAACCCCAGTTATATAAATGTTATTATATTTATTTCTTACTATTTCAAAAAAAAATTGATCTTGGTCTTCCCTTTTACCTAGCATTATCAATGCGGAACACATCACTCTTCCTCACTTATACAGTTACTGGAATTCTGTGTACTTGACCAATTCACCCTGATCAATTTTTTCAAAAGGTTTCATTTTTTTCTTTTTATGTCAGGAAATAAGATGCGCGCACACAATTTCCAATTGGAACTAAATTCTCATCCTTCTCTTTGTGAGGAAGGGGAGATACTAGTCAACCTAATACACAGAAGTAAAGAATACTCATATCATCATCATCATCATCATCATCCTTCCCTTAATCCCATATGAATGGGGTCGGCCACATGACATCTTTATTTCTAATATTTCCTATTCCATGCCATTTCACCTACTATATTTAATTTTTAAAAGCCATTTTTAATAATCTCATCCCATGTTATTTTTATCTCCCTCTCCATCTCTTACCTTCTTTTGTGACCACTAATCTACCTATTTTGACCAACACGTCTCTACTTTGCGATTTCACATATTATAAAAATGGAGTGAAAATATTCATAGTAGAAGAATTATATGACAGAATGGAAGAAATATAAGATAAGAGAGAAAACATAATAATATGTAATTGCTGTAAATTTATTGATAGTGATACAACATGATTAGAAGCCTATTTAAAAACATGAAGTTGGAAGGTTAGGCAACCTAACATTACAATGTTAGGCAGCCTAACATTACGGTTAGTGGATATATGAGACGCCCAACTTGGGCAATGCATCGTCAAACAAAGTCTTGTTGACGCCTTTAGTAAGAATATCAGCCAGTTGCTGAGAGGTAGTGACAAACGGAGTGCATATTTGACCAGAGTTATTTTTCTCTCGAATGAAATGTCGATCAACCGCTATATGCTTAGTCCTGTCATGCTAAACAAGATTTGCTACAATGCTAATGGCAGACTTATTGTCACAATAAAGTGTTAGATGTTAAGACATATGTTACCAAATATTAGGCTACCAAACATTGTATGGTAATGTTAGGTAGGTTGCCTAACATTGTAATGTGTGGCTACCTAGCTTTGTGTTTGGCAGGCCTAACATTGTAATATTAGGCTGCCTAACCTTCCAACTTTGTGCTGTAATGTTAGGCTACCTAACCTTCCAACTTCATGCTTATAAATAGGCTTCTAATCATGTTGTATTACTATCAATAAATTTACATCAATTACATATTATTCTGTTTTCTCTCATATTTTATATTTCTTCCTTTCTATCATATAATTCTTCTTGGTATCAAAGCCATTTTAGGTTGTTAGCAACAAATTGTGAAATCTTAGGCTTCTTTGTCAACAGATTGTGAAGCTGCATGCATATGGTTTTATAGCTGCTGATTAGTAAGAAAAAGGCAGGTATTTCTAAGTTTTTTAAGTCCATATTTCACTCTTTTAGGATTGGGTAATTTGATATTTTGTGTCTCCACTACCTAGAAGGACTTGGTTAAATTCGCATAACCTTAAGAGAGGTTCAAAATAGTGAGAAGGAGGTTGTCCGGCTTTATGTAAATGGGCAGCGCTCCTAACAAAATTCTGTTTTTTTTAAAGGTCTGAGAAGACATTATTATTTGTGGTATGAGGAGACATTTTTTTTACTAGTTGACAACTGTTTGTGGTGGTTTCGAAGTTGTTTAATTAGCTTGTGGTAAAGAATGGCAAATTCCGGGTCATCTACTGGTATTTCGGATGACTCAAATTTTGTGGGTAGTGGTGCTATTTTCCACACCAACTCCTCAAAAAATCCAGGACTTCAAATTACCACAGTGAAGTTGGATGGTTCCAAAATTTTAAATTTAGGCACAATCTGTCAGTATGTTCATTGGTGGTAAAGGTAAGCTTGGATATATTACTGGTTCCAACAATGTCAAATAAGGCATATCCACAATGGTTTGCCAATACCACTATGACTATGTCATGGATAGTTCATTCAATGCAGCCAAACATAGTTGTTAGCTATATGTTTATGAGGACTGCTAAATAGAATAATATGTAATTGTTATAAATTTATTGCTAGTAATACAATATGATTAGAAACCTATTTATAATGTTAGGTTGTCTACCTAACATTACAACACAAAGTTAGACTACCTAACATTACAAAGTTAGGCTATCTAACATTGTAATGTTAGGTAGCTTACCTAACACAAAGTCAGCTAGCCTCACATTACAATGTTAGGCAGCCTACCTAACATTACCACATAATGTTAGGTAACCTAATATTTGGTAACATATGTCAACATCCAACACTCCCCATCAAGCTAGCGGGTGGATATCTGAGACGCCCAACTTGGATAATGCATCCTTAAACAAAGTCTTGTTAACTCCCTTAGTAAGAATATCAACCAATTGCTGAGAGGTAGTGACAAACAGAGTGCTATTTGACCAGAGTTGATTTTCTCTCGAATAAAGTGTTGATCAACCACTACATGCTTAGTTAATAGGATTTGCTGCAAAGCACTCTTTCTAATCTTCCTACCTATTTTATGTCCCTATTCCCGATATCTACTACAGTGGTTAATAGACTAAATCAGATTCAAGGGAATTTTTTGTGGGGCGGCATCGGAGAGGAGTTCAAGTACCACCTAATGAAATGGGAGAAAGTTTGCACCCCTATTAGAAAAGGCAGTTTGGGGATTCGTAAGTTGGAGTTGTTTAATAAAGTTTTGCTGGGTAAGTGGCTGTGGAGATTTGGGTGTGAGAGGTGTCTGCGCTTTGGAGGCGTGTTATTGCATATCATTTTGGGGAAGAGGAGAGAGGTTGGAAAACTAGAGTTGTGACATCACCAACGGGCATGGCTTCATGGAAAGGTATTCGGAGGGCATGGGATGAGTTCTCCAAGCAGATACAGTTTAGAGTTGGGAATGGTCATCATGTTAGGTTATGGAAGGACTTGTGGTGTGGGGATGTTGTGTTGGCTCATAAGTTTCCTTGCCTTTTTAGGATTGTCGTGGATAAGCATGCTATGGTTGCAGATTATCGGCTTAATAATGAGAGAGTAACTTGGGATGTGAGATTTCATAGAAACTTCAATGATTGGGAGCTTCTGGAAATTACAGATTTAATGGTTTTAATTTATAGGCAAGTGGTGGAGGGCGAAGGCAGGGATGAGATGGTGTGGATGGGAGCTTCTAGAGGGGTGTTCGAGTTGAGGTCGTTTTATCGAAGCCTTACGGAATTGTTAAGCACTATTTTTCCTGTAAGGCTGTTTGGAGGACAACACCATTTAATGTGGCTTTTTTCACGTGGACAGCGGCACTTGGTAGCATTCTTACACTGGATAATCTTAGAAGAAGATGCCAAATTGCAATTAATTGGTGTTGTATGTACAAGAAGACGGGTGAATCTGTAAACCATCTTTTGTTGCACTACCCAGTGGCATCAGATGTTTGGTCCATGTTCATGATTGTTTTGGGGTTGGATTGGGTTGCTTCAAGGACCACGATGGAGATGTTAGAGGCTTGGGGAAGGCGGCCAGTGGGCAACTGAGTTAGAGACGCTTGGAGGGTAACTCCTCTTTGTTTATGGTGGGGGTTGTGGTGTGAGAGGAATAGGAGATCCTTCGAAGGCGAGGAGTCTTTTGTTTGGGCTATTAAATTGAATATTTTACATTCTCTCTTCTTTTGGGTCAACGGGAAAAGTTGTTCATCTATGGATAACCTTTTGGATTTTGTTGACAACTTGAAGTTGTAGTTGCGCCTATGGTGTCCTTTGCTTTTCTTGTACCGGGTTCGCTCCCCTTTTAAGCATTTTAATGATAGTTTTTGTTTACTTATAAAATAAAAAAGTTGTAATGTGAGGCTACCTAACTTTATGTTTGGCAAGCTGCCTAACACTGTAATGTTTGGCAGCCTAACTTTGTGTTGTAATGTTAGGTAGGCTACCTAACATTGTAATGTTAGGCAGCCTAATCTTCCAACTTCATGCCTATAAATAGGCTTCTAATCATATTGTATTACAATCAATAAATTTACCGCAATTACATTTATTCTGTTTTCTCTCCTATCTTATATTTCTTCCATTCTATCATATAATTCTTCTTGGTATCAGAGTCATTTAAGGTTGTTAGCAACAAATTGTGAAACAAGCTATCTTAAGCTATTTGTCAACAGATTGTGAAGCTACCTGCATATGGTTCTATAGCTGCTGATTTGTAACAAAAAGGCAGGTATTTCTAGGGCTGCAAATGAGCCGAGCCGAGCTTTGGCATGTTCGGGCTCGGCTCGCCACAATCAGGGAGGTGCTCGGGCTCGGGCAAGCCTAGAATAGCCAAGCTCAAGCTCGGCTCGTTAGAAAATCGACGAGCTCGGGCTCGGCTCGATTCGGGCTCGTCTGCGCACATATTGGGGAGGCTCTCAGCTCTCAAGCTTGCCTAAATAGCCGAACAAAAATATCAGAATAAATGAAAAACCATTAAAAAAGCAATTTTTTTTTTTAAGGTAAAAAGAGCAACACAGATTCGTGTAGATAGATGGAAGTCATCAAAGTAGCCCTTGAAAGTGAAATCAACCTTTAGAATAGCTAGCTGGTTTGCTACTTGCTTCTTTAATTAGATACACAGCACACACACATATATAGCGCACACAGAACACAACACCTATATATACACAGCACACATATATACAAGTATATATAATACAAAGCAGGTTAGTGTATATATATAACACAAATATATCATATATATATATATCAAAGTTATAGATCTATATATATATATATACATACCTTCAGAATCGTTGCAGAGAAGGAAAGAAGAGAATAGGAAAGATGAAAGGGCTGCCGCTGCTTCATTTGTGAATTGTGGTAGAGAATGAAAGTAGAATAAGGTTTGTTTGTAAACTTAAATGGGTTGGGTCTTTAAAATGAATATGGGCCATTATTTTTTGGGCTTTGTTATTTAGATTGTAGTTGGTTTTCAAATGGGCTTATCATATATAATTGTAATGGACTCACACATATGGGCTGGATCAAGAATTTATAAATGACTAATAAACGAGCCGTATACGAGCCTTGTTCACGAACTTAAACGAGCCTTATACGAGCCTTGTTCACGAGCCCATACGAGCCGAGCCTAATGTTGTTCGGGCTCGGCTCGTTTACTAAACGAGCCTAGAAATTAGGCTCGAGCTCGGCTCATTTGCTTAATGAACGAGTCCGAGCCGAGCCCTTAGCGAGCCGAGCCCGAGCCAAGCCCTTTGCGAGCCGAGCCCGAGCTGCTCATGAACAGCTCGGTTCATTTGCAGCCCTAGGTATTTTATTTCTAAGTTTTTTAAGTCCATATTTCACTCTTCTAGGATTAGGTAATTTGATATTTTGTGTCTCCGCCACCTAGAAGGACTTGATTAAATTCGTATAAGCTTAAGAGGGGTTCAAAATAGTGAGAAGGAGGTTGTCCGGCTTTACGTAAATGGGCAGCGCTCCTAACAAAATTCTGTTTTTTTTATTGGTCTGAGAAGGCATATTATTATTTGTGGTCTGAGAAGAATTTTTTTTACTAGTTGACAACTGTTTGTGGTGGTATTGAAATTGTTTAATTAGCTTGTGATAAAGAATGGCATATTCTGGATCTTCAGATGACTCAAATTCTGTGGGTGGTGGTGCCATTTTCCACACCAACTCATCAGAAAATCCAGGACTTCAAATTACTACAGTGAAGTTGGATGTTCCAACTATTTAATTTGGGCACAATCTGCCAGTATGTTCATTGGTGGCAAAGGTAAGATTGGATATATTAGTGGTTTTGAGAAGGAGCCAGCAATGTCAGATAAGACATATCCACAATGGTTAGCCAATAACGTCATGACTATGTCATGGCTAGTTCATTCGATGCAGCCAAACATAGATGGTGGCTATATGTTTATGAAGACCGCTAAACAGAATAATATGTAATTGCTGTAAATTTATTGCTGGTAATACAACATGATTATAAGCCTATTTATAGGCATGAAGTTGAAAGGTTTGGAAGCCTAACATTACAATGTTAGGCAGCCTACCTAACATTACAACACAAAGTTATGCTGCCTACAATATTAGGCAGCATACCTAATACAAAGTTAGGTAGCCTCACATTACAATGTCAGGCAGTTTACCTAATATTACCACAAAATGTTAGGTAGCCTAAAATTTGGTAACATATGTCTATAAACTAACGAGGGGCAATGGCTAATTGGCTATTAGGTCAATAGGACTTACGTTGGTAAATATTGTAATCTGTAATTTTCAATTTCAAGTTTGTTTGTGCTTTATAAAAGTTGGTTGAGTTAATTATGTGTTACCTTAGTCCAAATACACTTGGGAGAATTCAAAGATTCTACAAGGGTAAGAAGGTAATTTCACCCCTCAAGAACTCATTCACCATATTAGAATTTCTAATCATGTAATCACATCATTATTATTTATTCATAATAGGTCACATGGCTTACATGTTTTGATCTCTAAAAAGATGTTTTGAATGCATAAAAATGCCTTTAGATTGGAAAACTTACGTTTTCAAAGTGCAGGGTTCCTTCAATCAATCAAAGGTATTCGATTGAGCTCTGTGGATGGAAGTTTCCAAATAAATTTCAAACACTTAAAACCCTAATCCTTTCAACCTCAAAACACTGTGTAAAGATGCCTAAACTTTCATAAACATATACATGCATATTGAGAGGCATTTAAAAAAGTATACTGAGAGTAGGCAATTGATTCCTAGTTTTCTTCACTGCGTAATAGATGGTGAATGTTTTTCTTTAATGTGAAGTATCTGCAATCGAAGTGCTTTAAGGAGGTCAACACCAAACAAATCATACAAAACTACAACTTGGAGTATGGACAACTAGTAAAGGAGATCAAGTAGTAGGGCAAAGCACGAGGAGCAGATTCAAAGATAGACAGCAGTAAAGTCCAAGAACGAAAACCTGGTGCGAATATGGATTTTAGGTAACTAGGTGTTTTTAGGATTTAAAAAATGATAGCTAGGTTGTAAACCTTTCTTCATAATGGATTTTTTCTTTTTCTTTTTCTTTTTTTTTTTCCTATTTTTGATAAGTTTCTTCATAATGCATTTTATCTATCTAAACTGGGTATTGTGGTAATTTTCCTTTGAGGTTTTCCACGTAAAATTGGTGTCTTTAGGTGCATTGCTATTCTGCACTATGCTCATTTTCACTATGATATTTGATTGTTAGTTAAATTTCAATTTCAATGCAATCTATTACAATTTGATTTTCTGTTAAAAGTCTTTAAATAAAATATTAAGACTTATTCATGCCCACCTCTAGGTTTAGTCTAGGCCTTAGCATACTATCGCACGTCAGAACCTAGGGTGTCAATCCGATTTCTTAGTCTCTTAATAGGGATAAAAACATTCTTCCTTAAACTGCTAAGAGCTAATAAAGGACATGCACACACAAACTAAACTAAAACTAACTTAAAATTTTGAAAACTAAAATCACCTAATGGGCTAATAGCACAACGTTAGTTAATTTTTGGATCTAACACTCCTGCTAAAAAGGGCATTAACATGCCGGCTATAAAAGGCAAGGGCAAATCACACTTGATACTTCCTGAGATTTGCCTTTGCTACACATGCCTGCTATGTTTGCAAACAAAACGTAGATTGCAAGGAGGAGATGTGTTGACATGGCGAGCAACATATAAAATGCAGTATGAAATACGTCGTACATGGGAAGAAAATCAAGAGCTGGTGTATCTGAATAATAATGTAACTGTCTTGAGTTGTACTATTTCTTGTCAGAGTTGATAGATTTCATCGTACAAGGACCTTTATAACTTCCCATTTGGGCTTTCCCACAAATATTTTTGTGTATTCTTTGTAAATTTTGCTTATTTTTTATGCATGTGATCGGTAAACTAAATTAAAATTGGCCATAGATTGACAATAGAAATTCTACAAGACAGTTTAACCCCCTCTAGGTCACGTGTCAACACTGAACAGTTAGCCCCTTCAATAGAATGATTTTTGGATTCAATGAGCAAGCATAAATAAAGTCTTTTATGAAGGTCAATCTATATCGGATTCATAACTGAACTGACACTCTATTCAAATGTCACTTTCTAGCGGGAAAGAAATCCCAGCCCCAAACTGGCGTTTTCTTAGCCTTGTCTGAGACTCGTTCTAGTCTGCTAGTCTGAGTGCTCCTCGGGGTAAAAAGGAGAGAAAGCCCTTCACTCGAGATCTGGTATGGTGCTAAGGGCCTATTCCGATGGCCTTAATCATCCAAATAAAGGGTCACTCTTTCATTCAGTAAGAGTTTAGCAGCTTTATTAGTAAGAGAACACAATCACAAAATATTAACGAACTGGGAATTGGCGCTCTTTCACTGTTAAGAGTAGGTGACACATTCCCATGCCCAATCTCAAAGAAAACTCACAGATGCATTAGATATATGTTCCTTTCCTAAATCATTCTACAAGGCTGTGATCAACCTTAATACAAAGGTAGTTTATAGGCATTCTTTCATTGATACATGTTGCAAGTAGTGGAAACTCATGAAGCTAGATTTTGAATTAAAGATAGACCATTTTTGAGCATTTTAGATAATGGTTAATGCCTTTATTCAAGAAATGCAGCCACAAACCCATTGCAGAAAATTCATTGATGTGAAATACGTGAAATAAAGCTGAATTACTCCATAATTATACAAACCCACAAAATAAATAAATAATTTATGGAAAACCAAGAAATTTATTAACACCCCAAACTGACTGACCTTTCATGAAATCTTCAATTGCCCTGGCCCTCCGTTGGAAGAAGGGCAGAGGCGTACCCACCAAAGAAATCTCACCCCTTTTGCAAAGAAAGCTGCCATTTGTACTTACACATGGTGTTGAGACCATACCTGCTTCTCTCTACTACAAGCAAAGAGAATGATGTGAAAGAATTAAAAAAAAAAAAAAAAAAAAAAAAAAAAAAAAACCCACACAGAAAGCAGAGAAAAAGCGTCGGATTAAACACAAAGAGGAGGATGTTGAAGTAGAAGAGTACTTTGTCGGTTCGCTAGTTGGGAAGGAAGAGTCTGGCTTTGGGATGGAGTTTCTTGTGGTGACTGGTGTGGGGTGAGTGAGTGGTTTGGCTTGTCCTTTTATTTCCCAAAAAGAAAAATATCTTAAATACAGTATCTTTTACCAGGCAGATTTCGTTTTTTCTTTCATTATTATTATTTTTTCATATTTCGTTTTGAAATTAAATTTTGTGTCAATTTCGGAAAATTAAAGGTGCAAAATGAAGTATCTACTACTTGATTGTGACCAAAAATGATACATCGGCGGAATTCTCAGGCCTAATTCGTAAACCTACACATTTTTAATTGCTTTAATATGTATACAAACTAAAAAAAAATGTAATTATAGATCTTCATAAGTGATACCAATATTATCTGATCAAAAAATTTCGAAATTTAATAAAATGATTACATAGTATTTTGTCACTTCTTTTTTTTTTTGTGTATTTTCTAATTTTGGTATATTTTAAAGTACAAGTTTCTAAAATAAATATATAATTTTTTATAATATTTCTAAATTACACTTTTTATATTAATTTGATTAAAAAAACTAAATTGCCAAAAAAAAAAAAAGAAGATGAGTAAATGATATCATCTAAGACACAATCATATAATATCGAAAAAATTCGTATTGTGATCGTAATCATCAAGAAAAATAAAGAAATGCTTGGAAATTGAAACTTAAACAGAGAAAATGTGATGACTTATGTGGGCAGGGTACTTGGCCAGTTATCACGCTAGGCGAGTTATAGATTGCATAATTTTACACAGTCTGAAAAAGGAAAAGATGAATTGCTTATATATTGTGGTATTATTTTCAATAAGTATAAAACCTTTGGGGGTAGAGCCCAATATCAAAATTGTGTGAGTTCGGGCCCAAAGCCTAGTGTAATAGGACATTACAAATGGTATCAGTGCCTAACCCAGTCGGAAGTATAGCTAACGAAGACGTTAGATCCCTAAGGGGGATGATTGTGTCGACCTAGGACGAGTGTGAATAGGCACTGGGCGAGCTACGGTCGCATAATCCCACATCAACTGGGTAAGGGAAAGGTGAAATACTTATATGTGGTAGTGCCCTCTCTAATTGGTATGAGACATTTTGGGGTAAAACTCAAGAGCAAAATTGTACGAGCTCGACTCGGATCCAAAGTAGACAATATCATACCATGTGTTGTGTTGAAGTGCGACAGATTACAATTTGATTAACAAATTTTAAATTTTAATAATAAAGTATATACATGCTCCCTTCCCCCCAAAATTCTTGTCCATCCTTCTGTTTTGGAATGTCCCAAAATACAACTCATATTTCAAAAAAAAATGTGTATTATTTTTAGGGGTAATATCACTTACCTCCCTTTAAGTTAGGTCTAATTACAGATAGTACCCCTAGTGTTTCAAAAATTACACCAACCTCCATCAAAGTTAGCTCCATTGTAACACTTTACCCCTTCCGGTGATGGTCAATGCTGGTCAAAAACGTTTTTTGATGATGTTAGCCATTTTTTAGTATGAAATATCACATTTGCCCTTACTATAATTGTAAAGACATTTCCACCCTTATTTTTGAATTACAAATTACCCAATACCCTCAAAGGCAATCACACTTTAATTTTTGTGTGTATACATTTTCTCTCTCTAAACAAGCACAACTCTATCTCTCCATATTATATTGGGGAAAAAAATCTTCTCCATGTATAATACATATATATATATATACTAATTTGTATTTACTCAACGTCGACGAAGTGCAGGAATATTATCCCAAATCGACAACTTCACTTTCTTCTCCACGACTCTCAAGCCATCCACCACAGAGAACATCCTGACCTCTTCTCCGCCGCCGATTTGACACACCTGGCATGAACTCCACTGTAATTAATCTCCTCTCATTCGAATCAACACCAAACCCTAACAAATTGACTAGCCTAGGGTTTTGAATTCTCTATAGAATCTTGATCTCGTCCTTTGCAGGGATATTGATTGTGTCCAGGGTTGTGGTTGTGATACCCCTCGACTTTGAGACATGGGTTGATTAGGCCCAAGCCTAAACCCGAGGGAATATCGAATAATTAAAGTATTTAAACAAACACAGAATACAAAATAGATTTAATAATAAAGAATAAAGCTGAAAGAATACTAAATAATAAATCCTCATTAATTAATCCAATAAAAAATCCTTAATTAACTAAATCCTCTGATACCAGTAATTAATTAAAATTACAACTTGGGAATCCATCATGTGGACCCGTAATCCAAAATCCAACTGAAATAAAATAATATCTGACTAAAACAATAATAAGGAAATCCTATGTTAAGACGGATGAGTGAATAGATTGATGAGCGCTGAAAAGTGCGCAATTAAACCCCTTAAGCTTAGATATTCTAGGACCTTTATCTATCTTACTTTCCCGTTTTAAACTAATTTCATGTTATTGCCCTTTTTAAGTACTTATCCTAAAAATAAGTTAATTAAGCCAAATAAGAGCTTAAAATAAGCAATCCCAAGCTAAATGGATGAAAGGAGCAAAGTGGAAGCAAAATGAAATAAAGTGTGGAAATCAGCAAGTTCGATCGATCTCAATATTCCTTCGATCGATCAGAGCAATATCGATCTAGACATTTCAAGATGGATCCAAGCCTTTGTCCTTATCCAAAAGATTCCATTATATTCGATTGATCTAACCATTCTTCGATTGATCGAAAATATTCGATCTTATCCACACCAACCACTCTTGTCTCTTTCCCAAAATATCCCAAAATATCTCAGAGATTTGTCTTTATTCAAAAAGGCGCCGCCAAAGATGATCGATCTCTGCAGTATTCGATGGATTTCACCAATGTTCGATGGATCTCACTAATGTTCGATCGATCTCTACATAATTTGATCAATAGAACCCTCTAAAGTGCGATTTAAATCAAATTCCAGCTCATTATAAGTTGTCTCATGGTGCAATCATTGCAAGGCCCCTAGTGAACGAATCTAGACCATTGGGTGTGACACTTGAGCCTCTTATATAAGGATTTTGAGCCATTTTTACACAAAGCTTGGAAGATCTTCAATACACATATACTTAGAAACATTCTTAGAAAGGAAAAAAAGGAAAGGATGAGAGGCTAGAGACACATTCTTGGGAGTTCTTCCATTCTTCTAGGGTTCCATCAAGAAGGAGGTCATTCCTACCATGGAGATAGCCCTTGAGGGTTGGATGACTATTTCAATGAGTGGCTAAACATCTTCTTGGGGCTAGAGTTAGCCCTAAGCATGCCTTCTAGACTCTAATGCTTTGTAGTTTGAGGGAATTTGTGTTGTAATCTTATCTTGACATTTATTTTATATATGAATCTTGTTTATTTAATGATTTGTGTGGTTTAATACTTCCAATTGATCATTTCATTATATCCATATGTCTATGTGTGCTAGAATAGATGTTCATGTGTTTATCTCTAGTTTTTGTGTTATTAATGCATGTCTATATGTGTTGATGCTATGGATCTAGAGATTGTCAAGGCATAGAATACTATGGTGGTTTATTTGATGGTTCATACTCATGTCTTGATGGATTGTGCATTTCCCTTAATTTATTTAGTTTAATTTTTATGCCCTTAGCTTAGTTGTAGTGTAGTTGCCTTAGTTGTTAGATGGGAGGACAATCCATGCTTGTTATTTGATGTTCCATACTTATGAATGCAAGTAGTATTATTCTCTAACCATGTGATGTGTTTGGATTTTGAGCTTAAAGGAAGGATTAATGGCTTAGTTTGATGTATTGTGCTATTCACTAGGTTGCTTAGACAATATATGCTTAATTAGTCATCCATGCTTGTTGAAATAATCAATCACACACTCTCAAATTACAACACATGTTTCCCCACATTAATTATACAATGAATGTCTAAAATGGTGATGTTTAGTGGTGACCTCTAGAGCCCAAGACCTCACTCTCTTGTTTTCTCTAAATTTCATTTAAATTGCTTATTCTACATTGAACTTATTTAGTTTAGCTTATAGTTTAATCAACCAAACACACCACCTTTTGATCACTTGACCTACTAACCCTATACATTGTTTCCATTGCAAGCACGCCTATAATCCCTTGGGACGATCCCTACTCACCATAGCTATATTTTTAGTTAGAGGTAGTAGTGGCTTTTATAAATTTAAAACTTGGCCACATTGCACACTCACACTCTTTTGCACATTTTTAGACGTTAGTGCGACGACACACCAAGTTTTTGGCGCCGTTGCCGGGGATTTAAATTGGCAACGCCGTGTTTTGGAAACATAGGAATTAGTACTCTTTTGATCGTGTCTTTACTTTATTTTCTTTTTTTTGTTTCTTATTGTGTTTGTTCTTGATTGGCTAGGTACATTGAGCTAAGAGAGTTAAGCAAAGGGAATTAAAAAGCAAAGGAAGCAAGGAAGCCAAGTGAGCTAAGCAAAAACATAAAGAGCTAAAATCTAAAAATTTGCAAAGCATAGCGAGGCTTGAAACTTGAAAGTTTAATTGAAGTTGCTTAAGGACCCTTTGTGAGATCTTTCTAACTTAATCTCTAGTTAAATTATCAGCTCGCGTGGTGGTAAGTTTTTCAATTCATAGATAGATCATGAGCCCGCGTGGAGGCAATTTACTTTTCTTTGCATGTTATTCAAAGCATGGGAGTATGGGATCAATGTATGTGAAGGCTGTTTATTGATTGTTTGTTGCAAGGGTGAAGTGTTTGCTTAGTTGATTTCGTTGTTATGTTACTTGATTTTTGTGCTGTCATAATCAACCCTTCATCATTCTAATGGAAAATCTAGAGGGTCATCTTGGTTATGTAGACCCGAATTTCATGGAACACCCACCTTTCAACCAATTTCCTCCCAAAGCTCAAGTTCCAATTCCTCTAATAATCCTTCGTGATCATTACAATCTTCATGAATATCATTCACCATCTTGCATCTTGCTTCCTAATTTTGAGGCAAATCATTATGAAATTAAGCCCGAGACAATTCAAATGTGTCCACTTTTCTATGGCTTAAATGATGAGGAACCTTACAAACATCTTGATGAATTTCTTGAGATATGTTCCACCGTGAAATACATGAATGTCCCAGAGGAAGTTCTTAGGTTACTTCTCTTTCC